CATTATTAAATTTATAATATGGATAACATTAATAACTTATTTACTTGTAATAACTTATAACTTTACTATGAGAATTTAATAAAATAAAAAATTTTATAAAAAATTTAATAAACAAATTAAAATGTCAATATGATTAACCATATCCACTCTATATAAATCAATGTACATTATAATTAATTTTGTCGCTTTATAACTTTTTGAGTACAGTTTCTATACATGTTATCATACAGCATATTAAGTGCTAAAATACAGGCAGTGAATATTCTCATGAATACGACACATACAAACTGTGAGAGAGAAAGAGAGAGAGAGAGAGAGAGAGAGAGAATGCTAGAAAATTGTTGCAATCTTAAATAACAACGAAATTAAATATCTTAGATCACGATTGTCATATCCTGTTTGTACATTATTTCAAATTAAACTATTGTTTAAACAAGTTCATATATATAACCAAATTAGTTAATTAATAAAAAAAATTATTGATAATGTATATGTTTAAAAAAGTTGCATCTATTGTTTTGTTATGTATATTTATGTTTAATTACTTTAAAATAATTAACGGCAATAATTACAACCAGATACTTATCCCCTTACCAGGCTCGTGTCAATACCTAAGAACTGTGGTCGTTCACAATTGTTGCTGTAAGTATGCATAATAAATAACTATTATAATAATATAATATTTAATTGTTATAATTTTATTTTATTTAAATAATTTTTTTAAATTTAAATTTAATAATCTAGCTATTAGTTCAAAGGATATTGAGTGTAATTATTATAGACAAGTATGCATTGGCCAAGGCTGTGAAAAAGATCATGGTCAGCAATTCTGTCAACCATCATGCCCATGGAAAGCATTAAGTGCTGTTTACAAACAAAATTATTTGAAAAGACTTAATTAATGTTTTAATTAATTAACAAAACTAAATGTTATTTTACAAATTATTTTGTGTGGTTATATTAATTTAACGTATACAACAATATTACAATTGTATTATATTTAATATTATAATAAAATAAATATAATTATTATTGTGTATTTTATTTATATCATGCATTGTATTTATTATTTTATACGTTGTAATCATGTGATTCAATTTTGTTATATAACAAGTGCAACCATATGTTAAAAGCAATACAAGCAGGGTAATAAAATATAACATTTAATAAACGATTGATCAAACATTTTTAAAATACTTGTATAATTTTATTTTATTTATATATAAATACTATAATTTATAAATATAATCTGCAGATTAATCAGTTAATCCTGTTCAATGATGTCAAAATTAACAGTTCTCATTATGGTATTACTTTCGTATAGATGTCTGGGAGAGTTCAACACTACAGACATCGATGAACTAAACACAATAAAAGACTTATTACTTGATACTGATAATAAAACTTGCGATGAGCTTCAAAACGACTTGTTTGCATTTTGTTGTTGTAAATATAATACTAATAATTAAAATAAAACTCAAATAAAATGTGCTTTTTTAAATTTTATAGCACCCGATTTAATCATGGACATTGTTAATGGCAAGTATCAATTAACTTTATATTATATCTAGATAGAACTTAATTTTAATTAAATTATAACACAATATAATAATCTAATTTTCATAGAGATGATGGGTCTAAACAACGCAACCCTATGTGAGCTCTATCAAAAAGCATGTACAGGCAAAGAGTGTCATGTGGACACTCTACAGGTGTGTCAGGCCAACTGTCCCACACCTGGTCAGTCTATTGAGGACTGGTTTCTGGTCGAGGACTACATTAAAGGAGAGCTAACTTTACAAGAGTTAGACATGATATTAATGGGCGAAATGACGACCACTGATTACACCGACGATCTTGATGTAAATGATGTGCAAAGTGGCCAAAGTGAGCAGGTGCTTTTGGCAAAACGCTCAGTGTATAAATTGTTGAATAATTATTTTAATAAATAAAATTATGTTTATAAATTATAATAATTTAAGCAAATGATAATTTTTCGTGACGCTTGTCTAAGCCAGTAATTATTATATTTTTTTCGTACATTTATTTAATTATAATTATTTTGTTACAGTTACAGTTTGAAAAGTATTTTATTATATTTTTTGTATGATAATACCATGCTTGAGATAAAATTGTTTGGAGCATTTTATTTTACATAATAATTATTAATAAATTTTTATAATTTTAATTAATCTAATAATGTTAGTAAGTGATCTTGCCGAAGAGGTAAATTGATGGATTGTTAAATAAAAATAATATGATATAAATGCTATATAAAGTATAGTGCTTCATAGTGTAATCCATATTTTTAATATTTTGATTGAACAACTATTAAATATGATAATTCTTAATATAATTACAGTTTGATAAAATTTTTAATTAATTTTATATAATGATTTGTTTTAATAATTTCTTATCAAATTAAAATTATAATATATTTATTATTAATCTCAAAATTTTTGTATTTAATATATTGAAGAGAGAGAGAGAGAGAGAGAGAGAGAGCAAAAATTTATACTACATATTTAGGTGTGTTTTAAACAATAGAGAATTTATTAACCAACTGTTTTATTCAATAAACTTATATTGTATTAAATTAAAAGCATCACCAAATGTATAACACATTAAATTCAATTGTATTATTTGGGTTTATTAAACTTAAACCTGGCTAAATAAATTAAAACTAAATATCTATTCATTAATTGCAACAAAACTAATAAATTGTTAACTACAAATAATTAGTTTACTTTAAACACTACAATCATGTTCATAAAATTGATTAGTTTATTAATTACCTGGGTAATTATTGGCCATATTAATGCCGCTATTGTCACCACAGACATTGACGAGCATGAATTTGTCAAAGAAATCATCGAGGTAATCTCCCAGGATGGTTGCGCTAAACTAACCAGGGATCTAGGCGCAGTTTGTTGCGGTAAGACTTATTATGCAAGTTTAATATACATAAAAATTAATATTACCATAATTTCTAAATCTACCCTAGCTCCCCAGGGCATAATCAAAGCCATCGAGAGCATAATCGGTCTAAACAACATAGGTCTGTGCGATATATACAAATCCCAGTGCGATAACAACGAGTGCAGTCAGGGTGACCAGTCGGCCCTATGCGCGCCGGAATGCCCGGAACCATCCCCGGAGGCCAAGGAGTTGGAGCGTCAGTTATTGAGCGGTGAAATCACCGTGGAACAATTGCTGGAAATGATCTTGGTCGAGGCTTTTGAGGACAAACCACTAGAGGGTGTCGATACAGGTGCCGGTGAAGGGGTTGTGATGGAGGCGCTGGCGGGTAATCAACCCAAACGTCGGTCCCTTGACTCGATTATAACCACGGTGTTGCAGAATAAACGCAAATAATTAATGACTATGTTACTTTATTTTGTTATTTTAATTGTATTTTAATGTTTTTTATGCAAAATAAAGAGACTTATTAAAGAGAAAGCAATTACATAGACATGTGTTTATTAATTAAATGTTAATTATTATCATTGTTTCATTTAATATCATATTATTCAATATTGATTAACCTTTTACTTGAGATAATTTAAGTAATTCATACAATTAAATAAACATTAATGTAATCAACATTAGATAAAATAAGAATATTTTATTAAAAAATACTGACATTTAAAATACAACATAAATATTTTAGGAGAATTTAATACCATTAAGCTTAATTAATAGGTCTAACCTTTTATCAAGCTTCAATTGCATGTCTTTTTGAGTAGCAAGTACATTTTGTAACCTGGCAAGTGTTCTCTGAATGAAAATTAACTGATCATCCATATCAATTATATCATCTTCCATGCGCGATTGACGCTCGGTCAAATTAGTTTTCTGAAATAACATGGCCTGCTGCGATTCATGACGATCATTTTTAATAGTGTTCAAAATCTCAATTATCTCACTCATATTTTGATTACATTTATTCGTATGCTACAAAAAAAAAATTTTTAAACAAAATAATTAAACAAATTTTAGGCATACAATTAGAGGATAGGCTGCAAATGCCAGCAATAATAGTGCCATTAGTGCGGCGTTGACGTAGCGCATACCCTGCCGGTGATTATTCATCACATGGATCTAGATCATTTTTTTTTCATTGAGAGTGTTATTAACAATTACATAATTAAAATATACGTAATACTAAAAAATTAAATGCCCAACCTCATCTACTGCGGTGTTTAGCTCCTGTGTTACCTCGATTAATTTAGTAACAACAATATCACTCATGGTTATTAAAATGCCTTTACTTTTAACTATGTAAATGAGATGTTATTATTATAAATTATGTCACTGTAACTAATATTATTAAATACAGAATAAGTAAATAACTGTGTTTTATTCTCTTACGTGTCATTTAAATACTACTTATAAATATAACATGATGAAACAATGAAGATAAAGTAAATACTTAGATACTTGGAAACACTCTATGTAGATAATTTACATAAATCAATGACTACACCTTTGCTTCCACCAATCATTTCCCTAAATCGAGGATAAAGTGTACTAGCATGTTTATTTAAACAGCGATAATGGTCAAGTTTATTGAAATCGAATTGTGAATTAATATTCCTATTTAAATTAAATATATACTTACAATGCGTACATCATTCATTTATAACTAAAACCTAGATTAGATTATAAGACATTTAATTTGCAGTAATTTTATTTATCTCATTCATATTTTAATTACATCCATTCTCATAGAATACAACAAATTAATTATTAAAACAAGATAATTAAACATAACGTACCATTTGTTTGTTTTGCTGATGTATGATTTACTTAGAATAGCGCCAGCAATTAATTTGTTTAAAATTATTAATGATACATAATTAATACAAGTTATGTTGTTATCGTGTTCGAAAATGAACTTGATTAACAGTATTTTTTAAATTGTAAACTAATTAAATTTTATTAAGGTGGTATTAATATATATTTATTGTACGTTTAAAATAAACATATAAGAAATGTTAATTATTATCTCTATTTTATTTAATATAATATTTTTCAATATTAATTAACCTTTTACTTGCAATAATTTAAGTAATTCATACACTTATATAAACTTTAATGTAATCAATATAAGATAAAATAAGAATATTTTATTTAAAAATACCGACATGAAAAATACAACATAAATATTTTAAGGAAATACAATACCATTAAGCTTAAGTAATAGGTCTAATTTTTTATTTATAATTAATTCATTATTTTGCAACCTGGCTAGTGTTCTATGAATGAAAATTAACTGATCACCCACATCAATTATATCATCTTCCATGCGCGATTGACGCTCGGTCAAATTAGTTATCTGAAGTAACATGGCAGACTGCGATTCGGCATGGTCATTTTTAACAATGTCTAGATCGTGGCCTATTTCGCGTACATTTTGGTCCATATAGAAATGTTTCTTGGTCAAATCTTCACTTTTATTTATAATTTTGTTTATTACGGTACTTATTTCCGGCCTAACTGAATGTTGTGGTCTATGTCTGTTTATTGGTAAATCGCCATGGTCAATTATTCTTTCATTTATACTGCCCTCCGCGTCAATATTATCGTTAATAATGTCAGGTTTGTAAATCTGGTAAAATAATTATATTAATTATATATTAGTTTATTCAATAAACATGAATTAATTTACAAAATAAATAATATTATTATAAATGGTAAATAAATACAAATTAAATGATTGATATACATACAACTGGCTCGTAATAAAGTTGCTCATTGTTTGATTTGTACAAAATAGTGTACGCAATGTATAAACTAAGTAAAGTCACAAATGAATATACATAAATAATATAACGCCTTGATTCATTTTGGTAAATTTTGGCATTTTCGGCCATACTATTATTTGTCTCGGGAATGACCAAGTTGTTATTGTCCATGTTTGGATTGGCCATGTTGTTATTGTGTTGGCGAATTAAATGTAGCAGTATTGCAAATACAAGTCTTTCACAAATTAAATGTCATTAATGTAATTATTAATAACTTATTTATCCTAGACTTAAAAGCACAGCAAATATTATAAGAAATGTGAGATTTCTTTGTCCAAAGGTTGTTGTTATTGAATTAAGACAGTATTTGATACCGTGTTTTCACAACTGATATACCCTTTACTTGAGATAAGTTAAATAAATCTTACATTTATATAAACATTAATACAGTTATACATACGTGGTATTAAAATTTTAATTGTGAATAATAAAATTATTGCAATTTAAATGTCATATAATCTAATCAAGGCTTTAGTTATAAATAAATAATGTACGCAGGGTAAGAATATATCATATTTAATTTAAATAGGGATGTTAATTAACAATTTTTATTGTATTGAAAAAATATTAGATTTCAATGAACTTGATCATCATCACTGTTTAAGTAAACATGATAGTAGTCATTGATTTATGTATCTAAATTGTCTTATCATCATGAGTAGTATTTAAATGACAAGTACAATAAAGAGACATTTATCTACTAATTCTGTATTTAATAATATTAGTTATAGTGAAATAATTTATAATAATAACACATAAATTATATAGTTAAAAGTAACAACACCTCAAATAACCATGAGTGATATGGTAATTAAGAAATTAAACGAGGTGGCACAGGAGCTAAAAGTGCGTGAAAATGAAACACCCGAAGTGCGTATGCTTCACACCGCGGTAGATGAGGTTGGTCATTTAATTTTATTTAGAATTATACTTTAATTGTGTAATTGTTAATAATATAACATGATTCTCTCTCTCTCTCTCTCTCTCTCTCTC